GAACACCACTTGTGACTGGTCACCAACTGAACCATTTACAGAATGAAGATGCAGCAAACAATGTATGAAAACTTACACCAACTTCTTTATATGGGGACATTTTCGTAAGCTGTCAGTCAGCTGCTGGGCTCCAACTCCAGTTATTTTGTTATACTGAACTCTGAGGGGAAAAAAAAGCTGTGTTAATCTAGGGCACATCATGTAGCAGTAAAATCGAACATTTAATTAAAAATCAAAAATATTATATGGGTTTATCTGCATGGGGGGAGAAAGGAAAAAACCAAAATAGATCCTTGATTCAAAAAGCCTGTAATAAAATATTCAAAAGGTCAAACTAGAACTTCATTTAGTTCATCCGAGGCTTCCTTATTCTATGCAGCTGAGGTCCTTCTCTAGCTCCCCATGACCCTACTCTTCCACCTTAAAACAATTTTTCTGTGTTTTCTGGTGAACTGCTCCTTAATCCTTTCTAACCACTGACTATCTGGACTCTGCATAAGCACATTTTCCCCGTGAAATTTCGCTGAAATATTCTTCCTCAAATTCTGTCTCCTCTCCCCCTAGCATGGTGGATTTGAATTTACAGTATCTAGGCAAGTAAGCTTGCTCAGCCGTCTCAAAAGATTTCATACTCACTCTAGCACTCTTAAAGAAGCCATTGCAGGAAGAACTTTCGCAAGATTTTCTGCTCCAAAATCACAAATGCTGTTATTGTATAAGCTGTAGAAAACCAAACCAGTATAAGCACAATTGAATAATGGATAATGTGAACAGATTATGTAGTAGATCAAGCAACTTCAGATACAGTTGGGCCCTATGAGGACCAGCTGAGAGAGCTGGGGCTGTTCAGTCTGGACAAGGCTCCGGGGAGGACTTTATTGCAGCCTTCCAGTTCCTGAAGGGATCCTACAGGAAAGCTTAGGAGGGACTTTTTACCAGGGCAGGTAGCGATAGAACAAGGGGGAATGGTTTTAAACTGGAAGAAGGGAGATTTAGACTGGATATGAGGAAGAAATTCTTTACTGTGATGGTACTGTTAGTGTGGTGTCACTGGCACAGGTTGCCCAGAGAATCTGTGGATGTCCCCTCCCTGGCAGTGTTCAAGGCCAGGTTGGACGGGGCTTTGGGCAGCCTGGGCTGGTGGAGGTGTCCCTGCCCATGGCAGGGGCTGGACTGGGGGAGCTTTAAGGTCCCTTCCAACCTAAACCATTCTGTGATCTTAACTTCCAATTTACCCACATCTATTTGTGGTTAATGTTTAAAACACAGTTTCATAATTTCTGTATCAAGTAAGGCAAATAGCTACTTCCTTTCTTTAGCTAGTACAGCTACAACAAAAACAGGTCTAGATTCTGAGTGAGAAGAGCAAATCAAAAATCTGCAAGAAAATGAAGCTCAAAGACTTGGGGCACAGCATTCAAAAGATTTCCATGTGAGCAAATTATTCCAGAATTGCACACTATGTTACCTGCATTCCTGACTGAGACACTTCCTCCAAGCCTATACCAGCTATTTTAATGAAATGGGAGGGACCACTGGTCCCATATCAGCAAACACACACCCCTCACTGCTGCCTTAGGGCTTAGCACTGCGCTTAGCAAGCTGCAGATCACAGCCCCGGGTGCACATTTGTACAGGGTATTATTCATAAGTGGGTATTATGGATTGGATTTAAAAATCAGTGCAGTCCTCATTATATTTCTTAGGTACCCTTCTGTACGTCTACACTCAGTCATACTTTTCTCTCCTCATCTCTCTAAAGGTATTATCAAGGTTGTGGTCAAAAGCTTCGCTGCTGCACAGTGTGCGCATTTGTTCCATGTTCAGTAATTTCTGACAGCTATAGCAAGGTGTGTTGTACAAAACAACTCAACAGGGTACAGCTACTTACCTTAGTGTCTTTAATGAAGACAAGGATGGAAGAGCTGTGGCCAGTTTCTCCGCACCCACATCTGTTATCTTGTTCTGTGATAAGCTACAGCAAGTGAGATTGCTTTGTTAGTTGAGCACATTTATTACAGTGTGGGGAAAATTCATTTTTTATGTCTTTTTCATATTATTTGGACAGTCTATTTAGATGAAATTCAGGGGAAAAGACAAATTATGGCCCTTGATGGGAAATGAGGAATCGCCACAGGGTTAACCTATTTCTCTAATGAGGGCACAGATAATTATGTACAGGGACTCATTGGTCTTCCATGCTCATGGGTTAGTTACACCCATAGTTGTTAACACACAGTCTCTTAAGGCTCTAGGTTTAATCTATTTATTTCCAAAATTTCCCAGACCTGTTTAACCTTGCACTTACTTTAATGTTTCCAATGATGTCAGAGTTGGAAAGACTTCAGATAGACTCTTTGCTCCTTCATCTCCAATGCCATTTTCACTCAGTGCATCAAGGCTGGATGGTGACAAAGGGAGAATTAGCTTCACTTTTAATCTAAATTTCTGTGGTTTATTCACCTCGAAGACCACTCTATCTATCTTTAGAAGCTCTTTCTCTGAAGTAGCCTCAATCAGCAAGAAGCATCACACAAATCACAGCTTCACTAATAAGCAGCTTTCTGCTTTCCAAATTTACAGCCTAAGATTTTTTCTTTTACTAGTTGAATAGCTTGACCCATTTCCTTTGATATGCAAATGGTAGCACTTAATGCCTTGCTTCCACCATACACTGAAGATTATTAAAATGGTTATGAAATAGCTGTGTTCCAGCTATGCTGAAATGAAATTTCCTGTGCACACAGAAATACAGAGCCTACAGAACTCAGCAGATGCTGTAAATCCCTGCCTAAACAGCTCCTTCTCCAGACAGGGAGCATTAGAAATGAAGTTTTTCTTCAGTCGGGTATCCAGATGGAAAGAATTTTAGATAGTCACAATTTTAAACACTGGATCCCCTTCTAATCTGACAGACAATGCTGGGATACATCAGACTCATTCCAATTTTAGAGCTTTATTGTTTTCCCAAAATATCACGAAGAAGCCAGATACAATACAGAAAAAATGGCAAATGGGCTGAGGCGGTAAGGCCAAAACCCTCTCAAAATGCAGTAATCTTCCTGCAGAGATGACGGCAGAATATTCACTGCTGTGACTACAATTGTACTACATAAAGAAGCTTAAAATGCAGAGACAGCTGGTTTGTCATGGATACAAGTGAATAAATAGCAACAGGAATTCTTAAAAACTCTAATACTGCTCCTGGTACAGGAAGGGACAAAGACTGTGTGAAAATATGCGGGCAGAACAAAACCAGCCGAGTATGACTTTTTAATACCCTCTGTATTAATCAAATCCACAAAGCTCAATCTCTTAGGCTCTACCAGAATTTCGGGACGTCTGACACCAGAAGGTGCACAGCCCCGGCACAAACACTGACGTTAACCCCCAGAAGTAACACTGCTGCTGGTTCAGGAGAGAGCCTGTTCTCTCCTGGGACAGACACATCTGAGTTCCTCTTTGAATGGTTTTGTTGTTCAGTTTGCTCAGCAAAGCAAGTCTTCTTCCTGGCAAATAAAATGTTTCTTGGGTACATGAGCTCCCCTGTCACAGAATATCACAGAATATCAGGAGTTGGAAGGGACCTCAAAAGCTCCCCCAGTGCAACCCCTGCCAGAGCAGGATCACCAGAGCAGTCACACAGGAACACGGCCAGGGCTTTGGGTGTCTGCACAGAAGGAGACTCCACAACCTCTCTGGGCAGCCTGGGCCATGCTCTGGACCCTCACACTGACAAAGTTTGTCCTCATGTTCAGCTTGAACCTCCTGTGCTCCAGCTTGGACCATTGCCCCTTGTCCTGGCATTGGACATCCCAGAGCAGAGCCTGGCTCCTTCCTCCTGACACTCGCCCTTTCCAAATGGATCCCCATGAATGAGGGCACCCCTCAGTCTCCTCTGCTCCAAGCTCAAGAGCCCCAGCTCCCTCAGCCGCTCCTCAGCAGGGAGATCATCAAGGGCTGCTGAGGAGCAACAGTAAAGTGAAGCCTTAGCATTACTCACTCTAAATGCTTAAGTGATGGAAATGCTGCAAGAATTTCCACGAGTTTTAGGAATCCTTGTAGGCCACATGCTGGACCCAGCCTGGAATAGAAGAAATATAAATGCCACAGTTTTTTTCATATGCTCAGAAACAGCAGAAGTTCTGAATTTTGAACTTCTTCCCCTGCAGCCCCAAATGCAGGCTAGTTTACACTCCTCAGAAGCCACCCTCCCCTACAATCTGCAGCAAGGATTTCTGCTTTGAAGCCTCCAGATAGGACCCCACAAGGCTAAGGATTTTTCAGGTTTTACATTTTAAGTCATATAATCTTCATAACGGAGATTATTTTTTTTCTCTCAACTATTGGCAATTCAGACTGACTTGAGGTCAACATTTTACTGCAGCTAAAAGCATAAATTGAACTTCAATATTTCAGCTCCAAGCACTTGTCCCTCAGATGCTGACCTCTTATTGGGAGTTTCCTTGGTATCACAACAAGTGTAGCCAAGCTAAAAAGATCAGAATTTTAACAAAAAAAAATAAAATAAGGAGAAAGTAGGAGAGGAAATGAGAAGTGGAAGCAGCATAAAATCAGAAGTGAGGCCAAGCACAGCAGTTCTGGACCGGGTCAGATGTGAAGAGTAGGAAACAGATGAAGACCTGATGAGAGTTTTCCGCTGCACCACTGCAGTTTCTGCCCAGATTAATTCACACATTCATTAATCCTATGACAGGATATTTTAAGCAATAGAATAGACTCGGAGGCTGCTTACAGTTTGGGGGGAAAAAAGAAACATTGCTACACCTCATTTTTCAAGTCAGTGTTTCCAAGTCAATCTTCTTCCAGAAAAATGGTGCTGAGTATTTTATTTGGGAGGCACTCTCTGACCTTATTATCTCATGGCCTAAGCTCTGATAGGGCAGCAAATTACATCAGAAGATTCTGATAGAAAGTTGAGTATTTCTAGGGAAATAATATTTCCAGGTAGCTGGATCACGATCAAGATATTTTATACCCGGTGACACAATATCTACATCTGGTGATAAGGAGCTAACTTGTAGTAAAATCAAACAAAATTGATTGAGCTGTATCACTGCAGGAGCCAGAAATGATGTGTTTTGAATTTTGGCCGTAACTTAATAAATCTCGTTGAGAAAAGCAAAAGAGAAATAATGGGGTTTACTTATTGCTTTACCATAAACCAACCATGTATCAGTTCAATGACAGTAGCCAATATCCATGACTCTTCTCAGTCTTAAATGTAATCAAATCTCAATCGACAGAGTGGTGTAACACTTACGCAAACTCTAGTTTTCTGAGGTTTTTGATAGCAGGAATTTCATAGCTGCTGCAACCAGATGCATCTTGCACGCTAAATAAATCACAGTAGAACCAAAGTATGAGACATATTTTAGCAATGAAAACAGTGCTTGAAAAATAGTTTCTTATTAAACTTTTACAGGAAATAAACCACTGCTGCATTAACTGAGGAACCAGAAAACACCAGAATAACTTCTGCTACAACCTTTCTTAATTCAATTAATTTCAAGCTGATAATTGCCTTTCATAGTGCGGTCATTTGCTCTTTGTCCAATAAAACCAAAAAATACATTCTTCTAAGTCAAGTATTTTTTTGTCAAACAGGAAACCTATTTTGTGTATATTGTAATCAAAATACTCTGCCCTTGTTAAAACGGCAGCCACAATTTTTATTAAAGAAACCCCAAACAACCAAAATACTTCACTTATGCTTTTAATTGCAACCAATCCCCTAGCCACATCATGAGCAAGAGTGAAACACAGGGTTTCCAGTTCACATAACACAAGCTTTTACCTCCTGAGCTAAAGGACTGACTCAGGTCATTTGTGACCAATGCAAAACAAGCCTTCATTTATGGCCGAGGTGCTAAATACCAGTTAGCCCAAGTTCTGTAACTGAAAGCAACTGGAAGAGCTTGTACTGCCTTAGTTACTTCTCCTTTGGGCGAGCAGAGGACTCCATTCTCCAGCACTCTCAGCGAACTCCCATTTTCTTAAATCGCTAGTATATTCAGAGGACTTTTGATCGTAAATGAGCATACCAGTTGATCGTCTTCTCCTGCATCTCTACAAGGTCTGAAAGGTCACTGATGTCCTTCATTGTCTTGGCCTTAAAGGGATCAAGAACAAATTTCTCTGTTGATGCTCTCAGCAGCTCATAGTCTTTTGTCTGTTCTAAAGACTTCCAGAGCCTGATGGTATCGCTGAGGGAGGCCCTGTGAAGTGACAAAACACATGAAATCAACAGAGACAACTGCTGTTGTGCATGAAAGTGTCACCTACACGAAGCCCTAGGCACTGCTGTCTACAGAGAATGACCAACCTGAACGATGACACATTCTTTAGGCCAACCAAGTCTTTTAGCCCTTGCATGTCAGTGCTGCTGTTTCGCAAGTCCAAGGAAAACTCTTTACTTGACCTTTTAAAAACAGAGCGCAGTACATAGACATCAGGCGGTGTAAGAACTATGCCCAGAAAAGACAGGTCTGGTTTGAGCCTTAAGGCCACATGCTGAAAAAGGTAATTGTTTTGTGTTTCGTAAATACAATGTAAAAGCTCGAGTAACCTCTCTGGACAGAGCTCATTTATCTGCAGCCTTTTAATATATTTCCGGAGTGTTTTCTGCTTCTTGGTTGATTGTTTCACATCCCTATTTGAAAGGGAGCAGAAGCAGGAGTCATCCTGGAGGAACAACAATCCAGTCAAAAACCGAGGCGTTAAATCTAACCAGTTATAAGGTTTTTTCTTCTTGGATGGAAAGGACAGGTACTTTGTTAGACTTTTATCCTTGGTCTCTTCTGCTAACATAAGGTGAAGCGCACCCAAGAAATTCTGAATGACAAAGTCAGAGAATGTGCTCCCAAATTCCTCTTCTCCAGTATCTGAATGTTTGGGGAATGCAAATGGCAGGAAAAATCCATATTTCAGAGCAAACTCTTTAACTTTCTTAGAAGGAAGAAGATCACTTTTCATGGCACTTTGGTGCTTTTCTCCAAGATACCAGGCTGTACGGGCCAGCGTAGCGAGACTCTCTTGATTTTCCATGGCTGTACCATCTGTTTGCATAGTTATTATCTTTTGCTGAACGAATTTCTTTTTAGTAAGAGTTGAAGGAAGGTGTTTGTCTCCCATTTCAAGTACAGTCTCACAGAGAAAACAAACAAATCTACACATAACAGGGCTGTAGCAATGACTGAACAAGTATTCACACTCTTTGATTAATTTCAGTGCGTTATCACAGTAGGGCAATCCTTCGAAGTATTTGGTTATGTATAATTCTCTCTGCTGAGGGGAAAATCCTACTATTTCAATGGTCTTATCCACTTTGGACACATACTGGTACACCTTGTCTTTGGGTCTTGCTGTAAGTAATAAAGTACAACCATTGAGTATCTTCTTTTGGATGAGTCCTGAGATCAGCTCCTTTACACTGCACAAGTCTTTTTCAGGCTGGCTGGCCAAGCAACGAGGAAAATTCTCATGATCATGCAACCCTTCAAAACCATCAAAAACCAGAAGGACTTTTGCAGGATTTTGCAGTATATACTCAAAGATCTCTTTGCTTCCCTCTTGAGGTTTAACGAAAAATTCAAGAAGCAGATCCTTCAAGCTGTATTGCTTCTCAGGCAAGCTTAGTTGTTTGCAGTCAAACCAAAACGCAAATTCAAATTGAGAAAACTCTCCATTGGACCAGTCCTGGCAGATCTTCTGAACAAGAATGCTTTT